TAATGAGAAAGCACGTGGCTTTTCGTTTTAGATGCGTTTACATGCATGCCGTCCACGTCGCATTCAGCGGCGAACCTTTACAGAAAACGCTGTGGATCAGTTTCTGGAGATGCTAACAAGATAAGGTCATGCGCAAACAGCAACTTTCTCGTCTTGACAACTCCTACTCCAACATACTCATTGCCCTAGCCATGCTGGACTATTCTATGTGCAACATACGGAGAGGGAACAGAACGCAGTCTTGGCGGAGACCAGTGCCAATGCTGAAAGGTCTGTACTTAACTCTATTTACTCTGATGAATTATCTGCTATCAGCATATAGTGGTTGGATCAGACGTAGCAACTAGCCATAAATTCCATGTTTCCACTCAACCCACAGACTGTTGCGTGAGATCCAGTCACAGACTTTGTCTAAGTCACAAAGTACAAATATACTGGACAAATATAATGAATAGGCGAACTCCTACGATTTTTCAACAATCAGGCATAAGGCGAATATCTAGATAGTATTTCGACCGGGCTGGAAGACACGCTGTCCTTCTTTTATGTTGGAATCAGTTATTCCGAAACACTTCCTTTCTAACACCTTTGTTAGGCTTTTCCCGTGAGGATCAATAAGATAATTCGCCGATCTCTGGAGCACTCCCTGTGATCTCTCTTCTTGAACAAGGGTACAACAGCCCCTGTTCTCAAGTCAGCTGGTGTCTTTCCCGTAGCCACTGAAGGTTCAGAAACCCATGGAAGCCGACACATGCCTTGTTCGCCCATTGCTTTGAGCGTTTCATGGAGGATTTCATCAGTTCTTGCAGTCTTTCCACATTTCATGCTTTTCACAGCTTGTGTGATTTCGTCTACAGAAAAGACACATCCGCTCTCTACTGCTCAACAGGAGAATCTTCCTGCGGTTGGTGAGAGTTAAACAATTCTTAAAAGTGCTCTCTCCATCATCGAAGAAAGTCCTTATCCTTGGTAAGATGGCGTCAAAACCTGTCCTTAAAGACTCTTTGACTGCCCTTCTTTTCACCTCGGAGCCAGCGGATAGTCTACCAAAATACTTTATTTGATGTCCAGATATTTGATTCCAACACCTGGCCGAACTTCTCCCTGGAATCAGCTTTGGATTCGACACCGCTCTCGCTGTCCGTTTCTTGAATGCAACCTTCTCTCTGCACACTACTTGTACCTCTCTTGGTCCACCAGTGGGTTCTTTACTCACCTGCAGGAGGCAGACAAATCCATTTGAATTCGCAGCGTTCGGCGGCAGCCCCGAGTAAGCGGATCATAAATGGCTCCCTCTCGGTTTCCACATTAGTGGTCACTTCAGGGATCTGTTCAAACCGTCATGTGACGTAGTTTGCAAGTTTCACTCTCGCATTCGTCGAAGATAATATTTCCCATTTGGCTGGTTGTGCTACCAGGTCTTCGCATGGTACTCCGTTTCTCGCGGCATAGAGTGCCAACAACAAGGTGGTCATCAACTGACACCTTTACGCCTCTCTTAATGCGATCATCTCTTACTGGGTGCCGTATGTCAGACAATACGATGATCAAATCGATCATCGGCTTCTGTGCACAGGCCTTCCCTGTAACAAGTAAACTGATGCACGCTTCCATGCTCGAAAAACGTGTTCATAATAGACAATCCAGTTTGCACAGTATCGCTGCAACATCATGCCGTTATTGTTGAGGTCGCTAGAGTCGTTTTTCCAATG